TGCTCTTCATTTTGTACTGGCTCAGTGGGCCTTTTCTCAACTGACGACATCCAGTAGCGCTGTCGCGATGTTTTATGGTTCTACGAAAATATGAGCGGTCCCAAGGATTAAATTAGACTGAACATCGAAATTTGCTTAAACATTTTATAAAAAATGACCCACCCATGTTCGCCTGGGGATGTTCAAACGTCTTCAAACTATAATCATTGAGAGAAATTAAACTAAAGAATGGAGCACACGCGCTCGCAACACTAGAGGCAAACAAACGAGCACCGAACGCTGCCGTCCCCACGGGCCAAGCAGCAGCGGCCCCACTGCTGATATAAGGCGGCGTTCAACGGCAGGAAAATGGTCACGCACTGGAAAGAAGTGCATTCAACGCCTTATGAAATAAATCGGTGTGTACGTGTGGAAGATATTGCGCCTGAGTCGGACAGCAAGCTTTGATAATAAAAGCTGTTAGGCTCTTACCAGTCTCATACAAGGCTATCATTAAACCGCAAAAGGCTTGAGCTAAGTCAAATCTATGAAAGCTACCAAAACCATCATTAAACCACAAAAGATTTGATAAATTGTCAGATTCCTACCAGTCTCATACAAAGCTACCATGAAACCGCAAAAACGTTTAAGCTACCCCCCCCCCCCCCCGCCACTGATCATGCCATGTAAGTAAAATCGGGCAGATACTGCTGCTAGAGAGGGCGCAGTCGGCGGTCGACTCCGTTCCGCTCGCACACCGTTCTCTGGTTTCAAGCAGTTGCTGCCCGCCCATTCAAAAGTAAAACGCGGGGGCTTGGGACCAAATGAGCTTAGACTCGCAAGATAATGCGAGAGATAAACTCTATGCCGTAAAAGAAGAGGTGGATGAATGGGCGACCTCTCACCCAGGCAGCAGAAGAGAACAAGTCATTCCCTTTTGTCTTCATATTTCATACTTACGGAACACATTAATTTCTCCTATCCGAAGGCCAAGCGCCAACGTGGCCGCGCTGTGATCACCCGTTATCAGTTGCGCTCGTGAATGATGAGTGTCGCCAATTGGCCAAGACCCTGTCATTGACGTGAAAGTTGCTGTAAAGTTGATGACTGACGTCGGTTTTGGATTCTCTTATGTGTGATGCCCCCTGGCTTCGTGTAACCTTGACTTTGTGGAACCTACCTCTGGCATAATAAAGCAGCGCACTTAGCTCGTAAGCCACGGACGCGCTAAACATAAAGTCATCATTTGACACCGTAACGTGCGTAAAATGACCTCTGCAGTCGAAAGCCGCTGAACCAAATATCATCGCGCAAGGCAAATCATAAACGGGAATAATGTCTAGCGCAGGAGAGCCTTTCCCAAGGCTGTGCCGCCTTCCGACGACACCGCCTTCCGATCTGCCAGCTCAGGCCAAGATTGAGGCAGGAAATTTCGGTAAAGTGAGCCGTCTCCAGCGCCTTCGCCGAGTGACACAAAAACGATATTCATGCCCACCATTTGAGTCGCGATAAAAGCAGCACTTGAAACGCCTTCTATCTGTGTAGAGTCGTCTTTATCGGAGCAGAGGAAAATGAAAACGAGAGCAGCCTCATCCAGTAGCGGGACCTTCAGCGGCCAAGGTAGGGCTGAATATGAAAGAAACAGGTGAGAAAGGGTTGAGCGAAATAAGCTCGAAAGTCTCATGGTTGCATTATCAAGTCAACGGCGATGTAATATGCATGATGACATGATGCGCTATCCTAGACTAGGCACAAAGATCAGAGCAAGGGGAAGCACTACCCGTCAGCACTGCGCCTTTCATAACAAAGCCAGGGACCTAGACCAATGTTGCTCGTATACAGTTTCCATTAGAGCAAATTCGTGTGCATTGGAATTATAAATTATTCATAAGCCCACGCTCCTAGCCCCATTATGGTCCTCTTCCCGTTAATGATGGACTAATCAACGATTTGCAAAGCAAAGCAAAACCTGCTCGGACAGCGCCCTTTGATCAGAAACGGCCGACATTTTCGCAAAGCCTGTGCTTTTTTCGGCTTGCGTGATCTGATACTGGCGGCAATAGATTGAGTGATGTTATATTATTGTGATTAGCGGGTGCATAATCAGCCTGATCACCTGCAAATGCGGCCGGCGGCCGGTCGCCGCTGCCGTGATCAGCGACCGCAGACGTCCCGACCGCCACGCCGCGCCATTATTCATAAGTCTGGGAAGCCGCGGACACGCTGACGGACGGATCGTCGGCAAACAGCGCACCGGGCCGTCACGCTCGCGTGCCCGGCGAGTCACGCATGGCGCGCGCGTCACGCGGCCCGGCGGCACGTCCACGCCGGCGCGTGCCGGCCCGGCTGCGTCCCCGAGCGGTGACGGGCTCGGCCGCGCCACTAGTGACGGCCGGTCGGACGCTGAGCCGACGGCTGCTGCCAGCTCGCGTCCCTGCGGGCTGCAGCGGCCGCACCGGTCTCGTCTGAGTCGTGCTGGCGGCGCAAATCGGCTGAGTGAACGGAACCTAGTCGGGGAAATCGGGCGACCGGATAACAACTCCGAAACGCCGCACACTTTCATGCCAGACGTGGGAACGATACCAGCGAGCGTGTCTATTGGCTTTGCTGCCCCCACACAATTAGTGGGAATGATCCTGCCGAGCGTGTGTCCATTCGTCGTGCTTCCGCCCGTGCAATTGCACACCCGCTCAAGATGCCGCTCGAGTAAACCGAGGCTCGTTTCGCACCCTTCTGACGGCCGAACTGGGAGGGGAATGGCTTGTACTCCTGCTGGTGGGAAGTCAGGCCGCGTTCCGGCGCCCTCCGGTACGGTACGGCAGGATAACCATCAGGAGGCGGCTCGCCCGGGACTCCTGCGCCGTTCGCCTGCAGACGGCGGCGGAAATGACCCGTTCGTCCGGCGACAAACCGGGCCCGACGCAGCGCCGAGCAGCGACGACCGGCCGCAACGCTGAAAAACGTGCCGCCCGAGCGTCCAGGCCGGGCCGGCAGATCGTCGACAAACGACGCGCGGCACTCCGCCGGCTGGGGGAGCGTCGCTAGCGTCGCTAGCGGCGATGTGGTCGGCCGGGCGCCGCCGCCGGCCTCGGACAGACGGGATCATCACGATCCGCGGGAGCCGCTGGCTCACCGGGGACAATCGACGGGAGCTGCTGCTCTCACCGGTGTCGACCGATGGGGCTGCTGTTCTCACCGGGGATAGCCGACGGGAGCCGCTGCTCTCATCAGGGTCGACAGGTGGGGCTGCTGCTCTCACCGGGGATGGCCGACGGGAGCAGCTGCTCTCTCCGAGGGACGACCGACGGGAGCTGCTGCTCTCAGCGGGGACGACCGACGGATGTCGACCGGTGGGAGCTGCTTCTCTCACCGGGGATGACCAACGGGCGCGGCTTCTCTCACAGGGGACGACAGACAGGAGCCGCTACTCTTACCGGGGATGACAGACGGGAAATGGTACTACCGCCAGCGTAACCTGCGCAGGATTCTTACATGATTTGCGACGATTATGATAATGATTGCAACGAGAACACGTTTTAGCATCCCGTCGTCCTGATGAGCGACGCTCACTGGTGCCTCTCCACTTCATCCGTATACCTGAGTCTCTCACTGTTGGCTGCATAAAAGGCAGATAGGCGGTGGCAGCTGGCATAATTTTCTGTTAGAAGGCTGCTCAAATGAGCTTTTAAAACTTATCTACAGCGAACTAACCATTTGACGGCAAGGTCAGGGAGAACTTGGCTTCGACCGTTGGCAACGGGCATCAGAGAACCAATCTACCCATTCGACGCCAGGGCAGAGCGGCTATCGCTCCTCGTTGGCCGGTGGGCGCGCCGTGTGACAACATCCAGCGACGTTAGGAGTCGCGTGAGAACAACATCCAACTGCCAACAGCCTGCCGTGTGCAGCTACGCAGTAATCCCGCAGGCTATCGCATCACTTGCCCGTGTGCTCCGCTCCGGGAGACGAGCACCTATCCAACTCGCACTCCTGGACTCTTGGAGACGCTCACCCACTCAGACTCCGTCGCTCCGGCAACTCCCCAAGCTCCACTTCAGGAGATCCGGCGTCGGCGTCGCCCGCCTCTCCCCGAGCTTTACTTCAGGGAATCCCGGCGTCGGCTCGTCCGCCTCTCTTCGGCAGCTAGCGGGCAGGACTCGGCTAGCCTGGCGCGTCTCACTGCCTGCCCAGAGAGCAGTTGTGGTCCCCGACAGCTCTACAGTGCCGAACCTCTCGGAGACATGCGTCATAAAGCCGCGGCCCGCGCTCCGGCCTGCCGCCACCGATATACGCTGTTCATCATAGTCTGCGCCGTATCTGAGCCGTCCCAAGTGCTTCAGAGATTCCACTCTGTCGGACGCACTTTCCTGAAAGGTTCATCGGCGTATTTTAGCCTGGAGCGATGTTGTAACCGTTCCAGAAACGGGGACAGTTAAAGTGCGTTTGTATTCAGAACGAAGATGTGAAATTTTCCCCCGGCCACCGCATACAAAATTTAACAGTCTGATTGGTGGCTGGTGGTGACAAGTGACTATTGCATTGCCATCAGCATAAAGTAGCAAGAGAGCAAACGTAATCCAAAGGAATTACAAAACTGAAGGAAAAGAATCGCAACTAAATGCATGATATAACTGTCAAGTCGTAATTAAACTTATCATTCCTGCATAAAAAGCGCTCGATTTTCATCTTTGACCAGCTATCGTGGCTACGCTATCGATCTTTATTATTAAATGAAATGCATAAAGTTTGTTCACGTTTGGCTAGTCAGGAATCCGCGGTAACTTTTTCCAGTTTAACTGCGGAACCTTATTTCAATTGATAGCCTGTGCCCGCTATCACTTTCGCAACGCACGACACGTCCACGTCGCAGGGACGAATGCTGTCGATCTTATGCCGCCCGACGTGTCATCTCCGCGCACGCCATCTGCCGTTCCTGGCGCTCCGCCGGGGGCCGCGGTCGAGCCATCGCGTGCGACCTGCCCTGCCGGCCTCCTCTGACGCGGCGCCGTCTCCCGTTGCAGCGAGCGTCGCCGAGCCGGTGTCCAGCTACGGTCAGCCGTCATCCGGCGACGCGCTGCTGCGGCTCACGTACGGCGGGCCAGCCAACGTGACAGCGAGCGTCGGCCAGACGGCCAAGCTGCTGTGCCAGATCCACGACCTGGGCGACAGGGCGGTGAGTGACACCGTGGCAGCGGCTGTGCCAGATCCATGTGCACACAGGGGCGGTGAGTGGCATTGTGGCAGCTGCTGTGCCATATCCGTGTGTTCACAGGGTGGTCAGTGGTGGCGTGGCAGCGGCTGCGCCAGATCCATGTACTCACAGGGCGGTAAATGGCAGCTGCTGTGCCAGATCCACAAGTTCAAAGGGCGGTTAGTGGCGGCGCGGCAGCTGCTGTGTCAGGCTTACGAGCTCACAGTGCAGTCAGTGGTGGCATGGCAGCTGCTGTGCCAGATCCACAAGTTCACAGGGCGGTGAGTGGTTGCGTGGCAGCTACCGCGCCAGATCCACGAGCTCACGGGGAGGTCAGCGGTGGCGTGGCAGCGGCTCTGCGCGTGACGACGGAGCGGCAGTTGGCAGCGGAGCCGGCGCCATCGAGCGGAGCCGATCTCAGCCCCGACGCCTGTCGGCAGGCCGGCGCGCCACGTCGGCTGAGCGTGCAGTGGCGCTGCGTGACGCCAAGACCGAACCGATACCCGGTCCTCGTGCCGCCACGTCCGACGCTGCCGGAAGGTAGCGTGTCGGGACTGGCTCGCAGGGTCGGGGCGGGGACGGGACGGGGACGACTGCGACAAACTTGCAGCCTTGGTGCGCTGAATTTTCCGGTTTTGCCAAGGGGTCACGGGATAATGCGTGTTGCGGTAAGCAGTGAGAGAAACGTGGTCCGTCGACGAGTTCCTTCGCAGCGCACGCGCTGTCAAATGCATTGCCCACACTACGCAGCTCTCATTATGCATGCAGTAGTGGGACGGAGGACAGCTCGACAGATTAGGCTATGTATATTTTATTAGTCATCTCCGTGGACGTGTCGGCTTAAAGGAAGATGTTACATGAGAAATGTCATGTCGTTTGTAATTTCATCTGGTGCATTTCAGAACGACTCGGTTGTAGTTTGGCACAGCTCTGCCTCTGAAATAAGGCTGGGTAGGGTCAGCCTGCAGCCATGTACATTATACAGGTATACAAGCTAATGTATTCTGGATAGCTTATCTAAGACTGCAAGCACGTCAAGCTTAATACAGTATTCGAACGCTGGAGGGTTCAATAGCGCTTGGTCATGCACGCTACGGACATGATTGCGTATGAGGAGTGCAAAAAAATCAAAATTTGCACGATTGCAAAAATCCTGAAGAATCTTACCAAAGGATCACTCATAACGATACGATGCTCCCTCGTATAATAACGCCCATTTTAAAAGGCAACAATTCCCGATTTCCATTACGTTACTCGACGCCGCCCACGCAACGATTGACAGGGGCCGGGAAGGACAGCTCTGACCTCTGGCTGACGGGTGCTGCGTGCCTGCGTTACTCATACATCCAGCTGCGAGTGCTTCGGGCACGCCCCAGTTCACTGGACAATCGATCCGCTTGAGCCTCGCTGCGACGCCTCACAGCACCGCCATCACCGCCGCGCCGCACCCGATCCCGTCGTCCCCGCTGCCAATGGACCGCCCCATTGTGACGCTGCCACCGCATGGTGTGGGCGGCGTTTTCACGGCTGCGGGGCTGTCCAGCGCAAGCATTGTTCTTCTATAATGAGACGTGAGTTGGCTAGAGGACGCGGCGGCTCGCCATTGCCACCGCCGCTGCAATCAATGAAGACGACGGGCTGGGCAACGGCGCGGGCAGTGCGTTGCTCGTTAACGATTTGTGCTTGATGGGAGCAGTACCACTGACTGTGCGATGGCCAGGATGCGCCGCGAACGAAAAGATGTGCGCTTTCAGGCCGCTTTTGATACATTGCGTCGAGGCGTCACAATGAGGGCATGGATGTGACATGGGTGCACTGTAGCTGTTTGTGTTCTGTACTGGGTGTACAGTGAAGCATCGCATGCTGGTCTGTCGGTCTTCGCTGAACTAATGCAGCGGACACCAGGTGTTGTCAGAAGGCAGATGCCTCGACCACCGGAGGTCGTGGCAGCGGCAACCCCCGCCGATCTCTGTCGCACTGAATTCCCGCCTCCGAGACCCCCAGAAGGGGAGCTTCTGTGGTCTCGCAACACCGTTTCAATCAAACGCTGGTGTTAGCGGTTCAATTTAACGCGTCGGTTTCCCATGCGGCACTTTGCCGATGTTTCGCGCCAACCAATGCTGGTGAATGTGCAGCAGCGTTGTGACTCGTCTTCCGCTCTGCTCTGCCGTCCGGAAATAGATTGGAAGGCACGATGGAACGTCGGCGATCGCTGTCTCGCCCCATTCCTGTAACGATGGTCTGGTGCTGTCCACGGATAACGTCGGCGTCCACCTGTTCGGCGACAAATTTCTGTACGGTCCGATTTCAGTCGTGCAAGATCAATTCAGTCAATTAATTCATGCAAGATCCCCACCCCCACTCCACACCGTCCTCCAATCAGTCGGTCGCACCTCGTTTGATAATGATTCTGAGAGCGTCAGACAGCTCCCCGAATCCTGACAGACTTCCAAAGGAAGTTAAATGGCACCCAAGGCACTGACGGAAAGCCCGAAAAAGAATCAGCGGAATGATAAGCTGAAGTGCTCTAAAGACAAATAGTGCGCACTGACGGCAACAAAATTGGTCCATGAAGCCAGTAAGAAATCTGGGACGCTCTCCAAAACTTCTTTGTAGTGCACAAGGGGCTGGACTCCGGAGTGCCTCGTTGAAAAATACGGTACCTTCGTTGTCTTGCTTTGTTTTTTTGACGTGCTTCGGTGTTACTGACACTACTTCAGTCATTATTGTGCATTTACGTCTCACCAATCGACGATGCTGTTTGGAGACGCACTATGCTTCTTCGAATGCATGATGTGTAAACTCTATTAAGTCCTCGGTAGCGTTTTTTTACGTGGAGCTGTTTGGCTAGATGGCTACGATAACGACAGATTTAGAATGGGAGGCAAAAGAAATTAAGTGATTCACACCATGGCGTGTTATAGTCGCCTATTTTCATGGCGCACTATGCATGGCCACGCAAGAGCTTTTCTTGCCCGTCCAGTGAAGGAACCGGTGGCAGCAGATCTCACATTGTAATTCAGAAAACAGTTTTGCGGCTTTGACAGGATACAACATGGAGATTTAAGTCGCTTATCTGTCGAGCTGGAAGCCCGTCTCCCCTTCTGGTGGGTTCCAGGTACAGGCAAGAGGTTAAATCGAATTTCCATCTCGAGCCTCCTGCGATTATTGACAAAACTTGAATTATGCTGAGCCCAAAAGAGCGAGTCAACCCAGCAGAAGAACCATGAAGCGCCCCAACAAAACAACCAGCAGCACCTATGACATGCGCAGACACCAGCAATGCGTTCTACGCCTGCGAGCCTCGAATCAGCAGCCAGCTGTGGCCAGTGGCCAGTGGAGTAACCACTTATCAAATCTCCTGGCCCGTGGCTGAAGTAGCCGGCCGGCCAGTCAGCCATCTTCTTGCCGGGGAAGCGTTCGAGTCGGCCGAGACTATGTGTCACTGCTGGATATGCCGGATGCTCGCGCTGACGCGTGCTTTATCAAACGCGTCGGACGCCTGCGAGTTTTCCCGCAGACGTCGGCGGAGAAGTGAGAATTAATTTGGTCGACGTTTCTCCGGGCCAGGGCAGGGCCGCACACAATGCGCGGCACGCCCCACCAAGCCGTCACTGGAGTTAACCGCTCAGCGAGTGCAGCATGCCGAATATATGGTCGAGAAGCAGGTCCATAGCGTTACGTTTGGCGATGAAAGCGTCTCGTGTGTTTTTATTGCAGCAAGCGTCCTTACAATGTCGATGTAAGATTGATTCCTGTCATCGATTGGTTTCAGCGTTTGTGAACTCCATTTTCCAGCAAACTGGTATACGTCACCGTGGAAAGGTTAAACCAATAGGACCTCAGGCCTTCTTTGAAGCTGTGAGCTGACTTGTCATGGGGTTGCCTGCGGACAGCACCTGAGATGGTAGCACTTGACCATTGGCTAATGGTTCATATTGCCGGATATCTCGGATGTACAACCTGTTCCGGCCCTCTCTTTAGTATGAGCAATAACGTGTTTGGTTGGTGACTCTTACAAGCTACGTAAGATGCTAGCAACTTACGTCCAGCCCAGGCCGTCAGGCCCTTTCCTGATAGCACCAGTGGTTCATCTTATCGGAGCGACAGTGAGAATCATGCAAGAGCTTGTCATAAATTCAGTGCACGCTTTACTATGTGTGCGATAAATCTCATCGAAGCGGTGCCTGTGGGCTTACGATGAAATATGTCGTAATTCATCACATCAAGGAATTATACACATCAATAGAAGATCTTCCCATCGTCAGCCCTGAAGGATCGGGAATATTTGTCTTGGTTTGCTTTGGTGTGCGAAGACCCGTGGCTTCCCATTCAAGTTTGATTGAGTCTTGCTACAGACAATGATTATGCAAAATATTATGAACCTTCATTGGCCCAAACGATAAGCTAATTAACCTGGTAATTCCACTGCATCCGAATATACCCACGCACTCTTCCACTGGTGCATTATTATGCTTCGCTGTGCATAATCACGCCATTTTTGCCAGGCTTTCATACCTTGCTGTAACATACGTAAGTTGTTATGTGCATTTGCGTGGAGCATTATGCACATTATGCACGGACATCAGACAGTAGTAATAGCCTTATTCCTCAGACACAAACCAGGGGAAAAAGATATAGAGGCGTTGTTATTTCGACAACATGCCTTTATCAAAACGAATGGCAGAAGATAGCAGCAGTAATAGCCTTATTCCTCGGAGAAAAACTGGGAGAATGGAGATATCAATGAGTTGATGCTTCGGCAGCTGCTATTAATGCTATCTTACCCACGTGAATTATGTTCCTCGCAAATGCCCTGAACAGCTCACGAATAGCAGAAGTGTGTGATCCCCTGAATGTTGGTGTCCTGTAAAACATGTGGCTCACTGGTTCAAAAAAGCCTGAAAAATCGAGAAGGACCATCGGCAGGGGATTTTGAATTCGTTTCTGCTATTGGTTTCGATACAGGCATGTTGCCGAAA